TTCTTATAAAATTAAATCAAGGTCACTTAAAATTTCTTAAATATAAACCTCCATTTTTATTGCATATTCTTGTGGCTGATGTCGAGATGTTTTTGGAACATTGGTTATAAATCCTTTTCCGATAAGAATTTTTTGAATTATGAGTCCTCAAAGTTTAAATACAGCCGGCATTAGCGACCCTGTATCTCTAGATTGATAATTAGTTGTTTTATTCATCATCAGATTTAATTCGGTTGTTAAATTATATCGATAATAAGAGTCTTAAGATTCTTGCCAACTCATTGCATCTTGGATTGTGATGTCAGAAGCGAGAAAATACAAAAGGAAATTTTTGCAAATTATATTAAAATGTAAATACTTTTAATAAAATAATATTTGCCATCGATATAGAATAGATTTATAAGATATACCGAAAACTCTCCTTGCGTTCCGGTAATCAATCTCAATAAATACCTAGTATAGGTATTTGGAATCGAATTGTGTCTAACCAAATAACAAGCTATATGATAGTTGTTGAACTGAAATAAATATGATTTTATTTTATTCTGAAATAAAAAAAGAGGTATATTTTACAAGTGTATTCGATCAAGTGCACGTATTGTTTTATTAAAAAATATTTCTACTCCATTGTATTTTACAAGAATTTTCATTATACAAGGTGTATGATAAACCTCCCTTGTATCTTAAAGTGATGAGAAGTAAAAACAAACACACAATCATATTTTTAACTTGTTTATTGTAAAAAAAATTTTTAGAAAAAATTACCAGACACATCATATGTTATCATATCAGTATTTTTAGTGGCATGATGAATATCGAGCCAGTATTTCATTTTACGCCAAGAGCTGCAGCTTGTCGTTAGTTGTGGCGACCAAAATTCGGTAGCATAAGGCATTCATGTTTAGTACCTTGGTGGAAAATTGTGTCCATAATATGTTCCCAAAAGAAGAAATCCAAGGGATTCTTAATATTAATATTAAAATTTAATATTAAAATCCCGGAGATTCTTCATGTAAATCCTGTATGTTTTTTCGCTTCTGACGTCATCAATCTACATGTTCGTGATGAGTAGTCAAGAGCCTTAAGAGGGGAGAGGTTTGTATGATCAACTTAAAGGTGAAAATCGCGAATTTATTTCAGATAAAGAAATAAATAGACAATTCTCCGTTTAGTTATTTTCGACTAGAATTTGAGAGATGTGTAAAGTTTATTTGTAATATAAAATTTATTAAAAATATACGTGCTGTCTGTGTCTTTGAAAACCATTTTTTCGTCTAATTTTTTTCAGAATACTGCTCTACAGATCAAACATAAAATAAATATTAGGAAAATATTATTACAAAATGATACCATCACTATAAAATTCTAATTTTTGCGTATAAAAATTGATGCTATTTATGTTCTTACATTTTGTAAATATTATCTAATTAAATCTTCATCTTAGATAATTATGTAGATAATTTAGAGAAAAGATAATACTTTTTAATCTAAGATACAAATGAAGATAATACATAATCTAGTAAAGCCATTTCATCTAGATAATTGTAATTATTTAGATAATTTCATCTAGATACCAGCAACCACTGCTTAAAGGTCACCAAGAGATTCATCAATGAAATTTATTCATGAATTTCTTGATAACTTTTTATTTTTAGGTATATTATGGAAACGGGCCGTAGTGATCTGCGTTACACTTCTTTCTGTGCACGGAATCTCCCGATAGGACCTACGTCTATCCCTCACCAACTTTGCGACTCGAAAATATATATCGTAGTCGTACACATGGGATCTTCGCGCGCCTAATTCGATATTGCGACTGCCGCCGCGGAGACAAACGAGACACTGCACGGCCGAGAGTGCGGCGAACTTTCTAATTCAATTTGCCAAGTTGCCGTGATTCCCACGATTCACCATAAGGTTCCCATCACTTTCGATCATACTGCAAGGACCACCCTCTCCTTTTCGCGCATCCTCGTGTACGAGGATAACGATCCCGTGACCGCGGCGGGCGATTCTTCCGTGATCAGGCTGCCGGGTTGCAAATCTTCTTTATGCTGAAATAAATTGCCCCAACAAATGCCCGTGCACTACCACGTGGTAGCAAAATCGTCGAGCCATCGCGTGAGAAGCAAAAAAAAAAGAGAGACGAAGGGAAGTAGAGAAAGAGAAATTGCTCTACATTGTTATCCACGTGGTTTCGATACTACAATTGGACTAGCAGTAGTGGCAGAACAAAAGGAGAGAGAACGACCTGCATTTTGCTAGCTTTCCTGTTCCAACGCGAAATCCAATTGCGTGCCTTTGCGGTTTAAGGATCTACGCACGCGTAATTGGGTATTTTCACGTAATTCTAGAAATTTCGAGAAATAAACTCGAGATTTCGCGAAAGAATATTGCGACTTCTTTCGAAGCTCTTGAAAGCTGATATTAAAATAATAAAAGAGAGAAATGCCTTTAAATTAAAAAAAAGTATTAAAACAATCAATATCGGTTTTATACTCTCAAAATTTTCATATCAAAAGATTTTGACAGTTGACATTTCCGATGTAGTAACTAACATTCTGCGATTCTAAATTTTGAATTTAAATTAAATTCCTTTCACATTGTTTGCATCTCGAAATTCGATAATGTTTCATAATCTATTATATTTTAATTCAATTTCATTTTAGTGGGGCATATTTGCCAAATTAAATTTGTAAAGAAATTTTCCAATAATTGAGAAAAATATTTTAACTGTACTTTAAATATACAATCGCGTTTGTAAAAATGCACAATTATTCCTAAACTATATATAATATAAAAGTATTACAACATGAAGTATTATACACAGGGCTAAATTAAAAAGTTTTAAATCAAACAGTTTTTGGGATGCATGCACGTGAATTGATTTTTTGGAAATATTCGTTGAGCATTTGAAAATAATCGCACTTGTCTTGATTTGATTCTTCAATATGCTGTCAGTTATATTCATTATATTCTTGAAAGAAAATAAATTTTTAAATGTTTACATTTCAAATTGGATTTATCTAATATTTGACAAATATAATTTTGAAATATTCTGAGAAAATTGTTGTTATAGTTAAATCATGTGAATGTAATTATTGTAAAATTATCAGTTTATAATGCCATTTGTGCAATGTTTTCACTATTTGCCTATCGGGGCTATAAATAATGACAATTGCAACTCCACGATGCTTTTAAATTAAAAAAAAATTATATTAAAATAATTATTGCACTTTACGATTCAATAATATTATATAATCTAGTTTAATTCGATTTCATATAAACAACGATGATTTCCTTTTCGCATAATATCCCTCTTCTCACGATACATCATGTTCGATTTTTGGCTTAATTTGCATATCCACATTTTTAATTAAATCGCCCACAAAATGTGCGCCTCTCGAACTCCGCTTCATCTCTCGATGAAACCGCGATCGATAATACCCTTGGCTGTATTATCCTGGAAGGCTAATCCGATTTCCGCCTCGTGATCCAAGCGAGAAGGGCTGCTTTTATTTAGCTCTAATTCATAAGCTGCGCATCCACCGTAAAGTTACTTTTCGAACCGCAATTCGTGGTCTACATTCGCCGTCGTTGAATATATATCCACCCCCTCAGCCTGTCGTATATATCTGCATCCCTCGCTCACGCTTATATTCCCATGTAGGCTGCATCGCCGCGGGATGCGCCGCAAAGTAAACCCCGTAGAGAGCCCCCATCGCACGACGTTTCTGTTTTTCTTCTTCTGCCTTTTTTCTCCCTTTCCTTTCTCTCTGTCTTTTCGTTCTTTGTTTTTAAAAGAGTCCTCATTCCTTATGTAACACGATAAGGATCTTTTTCGTGTCGTTGCTACTGAATTGTACATACTCGGTGTCGCGAACGAAACGCATCCGACACTCCATTCTCTCGAAATTTTAGTCCTACTGTGAATCTCTTTCAACCTCAATTAAACCTTATAAACCTGTTTTGATACTTGAACAATCACGTAGGACCTCTTTTAATATTATTTGATCCACAGCTTCTATTTAGAAAACTTTTTTTGAGCCTAAAAATAGGAAACTTTTCGATAACTGCCATTTACAGGTTCAACGTAGGAGCTTAATTTATTAGATTAGAACCTATTTTAAATATCTAGAGTCTACATACGTCCTAATTATAAATCTTTAATCTGCATACGTCCTAAAACTAAGGCTCAAAGTAGAAGCAAAATTTCGATAAGGATTTCTTCCTTAAGGAAGAAATCCAGAAAAAGCTACAGATAGAAGAAGAAATTTCTTCTTCTATCTCTAGCTTTTTCTCTTCTTGCCACGTTTGCGGAGAAAATTCGAAAGAGATTCGGAACTTTGCGCGAACGATGTTTTACTGCGGTTCTAGAAGTGACTTCTTCGAAAGATATAAAATAATTTAAAGAAACACTGAAAGAACGATTGTACCGAAGTATCTAAAAATTTAGCTATATACAGATCTAAAAATAAATTTGTTAGATCATCAAAATATTGATTAGGTATCTAAAAAATTAGCTAGATACAGATCTGAAAATAAATTTGTTGGATCATGAAAATAATTACGGAGAAATCTCAAGCATGATGAGCAATACTGCAAAAACTTTCGACCTTAAACTATAAGTTTGAGTGTCCTGGATAATTATGTTGATGGTCCAACAAAATTATTTGCAAATTTGTATTTTCTAACTTTTGTTATTTTAATTTTTAAATGAATTGAGCCTTTTGTTATTCAGTTGATTTTTAGATACTCCAGAAAAACCATCCTTTCCGTGAAATTTTTTTCTAATATCCTTGAAAATGCCACGAATATAGTTGAGGAAAAAATTGAGGAATAACTCGAGGGATTAAGGGGGAAAGGAGGTGCCTTCCAAAGTGGCACTCTCGTATTCCGCGGGTACACCGTAGCTGTCGCTGTGACTACGTAATTATCCAGCGAGAGACAGGGGTCGTCGTCGCCGCTAATTAACGCTAGTAGTGGCCGTGAGTACTTACAATTGTGATTCAGCTGAGACAACTCCAGCGCCGCGCACTTGTACCGATGTCTAGACTCCAGCGTGGGTATCACGATACCGATCACCAGGCTCGAGTCCTTCTCGTGGTAGCACACCAGGGCGTCGCATTCCTTCCCATCTGCAATGCATAGTCATGTGGTTTCGTGATTACTCGTGCTTCTTCGCTCTGTCAACTGGACCAAGCTGAACCAAACGGACCAACCAAACGAGAAGCAAACAGGGTTGTAACAGTTAATTCAGCTTTTGGACAGACGGAAGAATGGTTTGCAGTATCTCTCAGTTTACCTTGTCTTTAGTTCTTCTACATAATTTTTATAGGATCTTAAAGGAAGGAGACAGAAGGTTGTATGATTAAACTGAAAGTAAAATCTGCGAATTCATTTCAGGAAATGGACATATTTTTTCGTTTTAAATATTATTTACTACTATATTAGTAGAAATATAGATATATGAGACACAATATTTTTAGAATGTTATATAAATATTAAAAAGAGTAAATAATATTCATAATATAACATTCTGGGAATACTTTGTGTTTATAGGACAGATTTGAAAATTTGTTATAGCTACCAAATATTGAGTGAAGTAGTTCCAACTAAATGTTGAGGTAATATAACTAAATATAACTTTACCTTTACAAATATTTAGTATCACCAAACGTGGGTGCTTTCCAGCGAGAGACACAGAGGACACAGTGTAACACAGTGAATCGTTACATCCTCGTTGTTTGCTAATGTTAAACAAAGATGACATGATCACCGTGTCACGCTGGGTCGCTTGTTGAAAAGCACCAGGAAAGCAACAGTAATATTTAATTACCTTATATTGAGTCATGAGATAATATTTATGTTACCTTAACGTTTAGTTGAAACTATTTCACTTAATATTTGGTAGCTGTAACTAGACTTCTCTTTCAGTGCAGTTTCATAAGAAGATAGTTTATATAAGAATTCCCTACTGTTTGAGTTCTTTCATAGGTTTGAGGGTTGAGTTAACAAACCTCTCGGAAAACACAAGATATGTGCGACAAATATTGAAATCTCTAGATCGATGTCTGATCCTCGATCGATCATCGAATCTTCCAAATCCGATGGGACAATTTCAGAAAGACAGATCCACCGATGGGTTTTAGCGCAGATCGGACAAACTTCGGGGCAGATTAAATAGCTTTTCGATAAGGGTCGCGAGCTGAACTTCCCGAGGGGGGGTGATTTGCGTCTCTTATGAATATAAAACAGAAATTTGGCGCACCTCCGCGAGCCATGCGATCTGAGAACGAGTTTAAGTAGAACAGGATGATGAGGCGGGAGATAGGGGGGTTGAAGGAGGGCGTAATAATTCGCGCATTATCGCTTCCGTTTACTCGAAATTTATTCCCGCGTAGTCTGGAGCAGCGCGTAACCGTTCACTCGAGAAATAGATTAAATCGTTATCGTCCGTGCGCCATTATGCGCGCAAAATGTCCCATAGAGGTAAATAATGTGTGCCATAATGGCGATGTCGCTTATATGATGGCCGCGAGGGGGGAGCGACGGCGGTTAAGGAAATCGGTTACGACGTCGCCCTTTAGTTTTACCGTAATTCGGACGTTTATATATTTATCGGATCGCACGTTCGCGGAATATAGAGGTCTTGAAGGAAAATAGCGGACGGGTAAAAGCCACGACACGACAATTGTAAGACCGAGATCGTTTAAATAATTGCTAAATGTCGCACTAATAAAATTTGGCCAAGTTAAGGAAAATGGACGTAACGTTAATTTTCGTATTTAATGATGGAAGAATTTGCATGTTTAAGAAATTAGCGGGACTTTTTGATATCCAACAATAATGCGTATTTCATCGCGATATAATCGAGTTTTTCGAGTAATTCAGAGGTGCAGCTTGAAAATCTAAATTTAAAACGTAACAAATATTTAACAGATAAATTTCGCCCTCAAATATTCATCCCGCAAACGGATCAATACAGTTTTTTTCGTCACCGTAAATAATTCGATACGGATATTCATATTGATTATGGTGTATTTTTTTACAAATTATTTTCAAGGCCACTTTCAGTTTCTTTCCCTCATATGGAATTCTATCGCCTCTTTCTTACTTATTTTTTTAATACACAGTAAAAAAGAAAATGTTAATTTTAACACTTTTTACATGTTCCCAGGAGATCCACTCTAAATTTTAAGTTAAAGTAACTCATTCGTCTTGTGTTATTTATTAACGAACTAATAATGTTAAATAATTGATACAATACTTTAAATTTATATTTGTTATTTTGACTTTAAGGATAATTTAAAACTAACATATAAAATAAGTAGAATACATAGAAGAGTAGTTGCAGTAACTCGTAAGAAAATATTAATAAAACATTTTTGTTCGTATATAATGTAAATGAAAAAATTCTTAGATGTTAAATTGACTTTGAGATATATAAATTAATTGAAACAATTGTGTTAAAAATATTCAAAATAATATTCCATTTTTAATTGACATACGCAATTGTTAAGTTAGAAAGGTGACATGAATCTAACACATCAAAATGTTACAAATATAATAATATATCAGTTGTATTTTTATTTTACATTGAAGTAATAATCAAAATATGGTAAAACAAGAAAAATTCTACGCACGATTTTTTGTTTAGTATTATACTGTGTATAATACTAAAATGAATCTATTCGAGACAATTTATCACAAAGGAGACATTTATAATTATTATTTTACTGGTTGTTTTTCTGAATTAAATTATTCAAGACATTTGTAAAAATCGACAATTAAATAAGTTTTATAGAAACATACACAGAAAAATATTGCTAAAGTATCTAAAAATTTCCCTGGATACAAATCTGAAAATAACTTATTGGATTATCAAAATAATTATGTAGAAAATTCAAGCATAATGAGCAAAAAATTTTGACATTCTAACCAACTTGAGTGTCCTACATAATTATTTTGATAGTCCAATAAAATTATTTTCAGATCAGCATCCAGCTAAAGTTTTAGATACTTTAGCAAAACCGTTCTTTTTATGTATATCTAACATTTCCGTTTTACACGGAGAAAAATGTACAGTATTATACACTAGAATTCTAGTAAACTTTATGGAATTATCAAGTTCATATATAGGGATACGTGCCTACTTATGTAAAATTTTCTTTACATTTCTGGTAAATGAGATTGTCGTATGATAATCATTTTTACTTTATCGACAAACATTTTTTCTTTAGCATTGACAAAATTTACTTTACTGCATAGTAAAATCTATATATGTATAAAAGTTCTGAGAGTTGTTTGTGGTTGTCAATCTCGAAAATAGTACGATTTACTTTATTGTAAGTATAATTTACTTTACTGAAAGTATAATTTATCTTATTATAAAATAATATAGTCACTTGAAATGATGTACTATAATCATAACGTACTTCTTATCTTAAATCTCCGGTATTTTTACTTTCAGGCAAATAAAATTTATCAGAAATTCGGTAAAAATAGCCAGAATATTTTTACTAGTCTTGT